TACAATCAAGTCTACAAAATACCCCACTATTTGTTTTATTGAAACTCAATACATTCACCTATCAATTTTTTTTCTATTTTTGAGCATCTTTTCTATTATATATATTTTATAGTGTTTTTTTATTGTGTTCACTGTTTCTCAGACCAGACTTTTCTTACTCAACTACAGCATTTCTGTTTCTTCTTCACTTTCTTATTATGTAAGAAAGGCACATTTGTTCCATTTTTCTAAAATTCTAATAACATTAATAATTAAGCATTTCAAATTAACAAATTTCCCTTTAAAACACATTTTCACAAACTTAGATGGTATTAGTAATATGTAAGTTACTACTATTACAGCAAATTAATAATAATTGATAAGTCGTACCTATAACATTGATATCCAAAATATGATATTAGTCCAATTTACTACCTAACATCTATCGCTAGTTACTATTAATAATACTTTTTGAACAATATTCTTCCAAACATGTTCTGACATTCAAATGTTAGCAATTATATAGGTTTAGTAGTTTTTAAATATTTACTTAGATTGTCCATTAGTTATTTTCACTTAAAATTTACTTAATAATAAAAATAATTATAAATCTAACTTAAATATTTTGAGAATATTAAAATGTTGGTTATTAATACCTATCTGTTATTAAAAATTTCCTACCAATTTGCAAGTTTCCAAGTTTACAAAGAATGTTATAAAAGGCAGTAATACTTTTATTTCCATCGAAACTGCCGAAAAATATATTCTTCAATACTTCGAGTCATACTAGGATTTTATTAATAAAATTTATCAATTCTATAAGAAACCCATTACATTAATACGTTTATCAATATAAAAGAATAATCCAATATTACTAATTTACTGTATACAGTAATTGGAATTTTACTTATTGTTATTAAAAATTATCTTTAAGAAATATTCGTTTTTGCATCGCGCATAATATCCTTGCCATTCTTTAAATTTAAACTGCACATTGAACGTTCAAGACACACTACGGATAAACGATTTAACGGACATCCAGTCATATCTCTACGTTCGAGATTTTGGCAACACCGCTGGGATAACCAAGAGCCGTAGAACAACTATTATATTCATATAAAATGGGCTTACCAATAATCTGTTAATATATCTGGACTAACCAAGACCCTGAAGATATCTTTAACTATTATATATATCTTTTTCTTCATCTCTGTAAAACTCTCCTACCAAATTTTAGTATTCTAACTTCATAAACAAAGGCATCACTAACAATTTTTTACACTGAAATCTAACATTGCATTTAAAAAGAGATATGTTATTTATTTATATTTTATCTTCCACATATTTTTGAAGCTCTCTGTATACTCCGTAATAATTTTAAGATGTGTATCTTAACATTCCCTATAACTCTTACATTCAACATTTTTTTGTAAACCTCGAAACAAATGAGATAATGGACATTATCGTTGCTCACCCTGTACATCAAGGGAAAACCTGTGCAAAGTACAAAGACTGACATGCATCTCCATCACAAGTGCCATGATAATATGCCCAATAGCAGCAATGGAGATCATCCTAGACCTAACACCACTGCACATTGTGTTGTTGGTAGTTATGCCAATGCGACAATGATAAGAATGGTCATTGACGGAAACAGTGCTGAGATAATTTTCAGGTCACGGGCTTGGAACACACTCAAAAAAAATCCACTTTTCCAACTCCCAGTGGATACATACCAAAAATGTACAACTTTAAGAAACACCTCACTGTAGTACTGATTAATAAAAGGAATTGGAAACGTGGAAGAAACATATGCTGAGGCATTCTAAAAGACCATACCATAACGTAGTATACTGATGCTTCCAAAACCAAAGCAGGGACAAGGATAGGAGTATTTAGGCCGAAAGCAAAATACTCCGAAACACTAGACACCTACAACAGCATCCTTCAGGCAGAAATGTACGCTATCGAAAGATGCGTACAATTTATTTTAGAGAGGAACTATCGAAAACAGGAAATAGCCATCTTATCCAATAGTCAAACAGCACTAAACGCGACCAACTCAGTAACGAAGTTGGTAAGAATGCCTATAGAAGCTGAACAAATTAGGCAAAGAAAATAAAGTCCTCCTACTCTGAGCCCCCGCTCACCAAGGTATAGAAGGCAATAAAAAAATAAATGATCTAGCTAGAAAAGGAGCGAACACTCCACTAACTGGACCAGAACCGTTCTGTTTTCCAAGCGGAAACCAACTAAAAGCGAAACTGAAGAACCTGATAGACTCCATCCGTAACCTGGAATGGGAGTTTTCCAGCGGTCTAAGACACTCGAAAAAGTTCCTCAGAACTTCTCAACCTAGAAAAATCAAAGACAATTTTCCTTGATTTAAGTAAAAAAAATCTTCGGATTGTCACAGGGTTTCTAACAGGACACTGTCTCCTCAACTAACACCTCAGTAGGCTGAAGCTGAGAAACAATGGCGAATGCAGATTCTGTGGGGAAGATGGGGAAACACCAGAACACCTTATCACTCAATGCGCAGAGACGACGCACGACCGTTCGAACTGTCGAGGATGGAGAGCTGGCCTCTGTGGAGTCGTCTCAGATACTGGCTTTTGTTAAAGCTCTGAGACTATATGATGAGTTATAACTCAAGAAACTGGAACACACAATAGATTTGTAAGGTCGCGCTGATTAACTCCCCTCCTAAACATTCTACATTGTAGTAAAATTTATAATACGGTCCATAGAAAGCTACAATTAAAATTCCAGCAAAAATTTGATTTTGTCATTGTCAAAGTCGATGTCACATTTTGTTTACGAGAATTTGAAGGTACCAAATAGAGTAATTTTGTATAAAAGAATTATGATTTTCACAACTTCTGAAAAAGTTACGATGGTTAAACGGCATTTTGCTGGAAATAGTATCCCCGCTATGTTAAATATGTTCGCACAAAGTGTTCACAACTCAGTCCCGGAAAGTATATAAATAAGTCAATTGGTCTAGTTGAAGTTCAAGTTGTTGTCATAAGGCCAATAATTACAAAGAACAACGGAAAAAAAAATAAATCAAAACTTTTTAGTTAATAATGCTGACAAAGGCATTATATTGCAGACATCTAGAAAGATCTAGGTATTGTTTCAGCCATAAAGTATATAACAACTTATATATAAAAAAAACTAAAATAATTATACAAAAAAATTTAAAAAAATAAATAGGAAAGAGAAGAGAAAGGAAAGGAAGAAATCAATGAATGAGATAAATGACTATATTGAATATATTAATTCTTTTTAAATATATTGATCCAGAGATGATAAAGTTTTTGTGATATGATTATAACGAACTTAATAGTTAATAAAGAAGTTACTGTGTCTGAAGAAGCTGGTTCTTAAACTTGTTTTTAAAGGTAGTATATGATAACTGCCAGTCCCCATAAAATGCACAGAGTTCATTAAAGTTGCAAAATTATAGGAAAAGGGGCGCTTAAATAATTCTTTGCGATGTTTCGGAATTCTTATAATGTTTATAACAAGGTTTCTTGCTTGGTAGACAAAACTTTTCTTTTATTTCGTAAATTATTGTGGATGTATGTGGTATGAGCGAGGCTTAAGAGTGATCGAGTACCTAATGAACAGTCATACATCGCGAATACTCCAACTAGTCCAACTAATTATTTTATCCTGACTATTTTGACAACATTGAGCTGAATAACTAAAGGTGTATATTTCTTCCTCTTGTAGAAAAGAAAAACATTGACTCCCGTCTGTTGGGGATACAGTTGGAAAGGACGTCTGGATCTTTCTCCAAAGGATTTCTTCCTATGGAGCACATTCAAAAACCGTCTTTATGAGCATATTAAATAGAGAAATTTAGATGAACTGAAAACGACATCTCTGTGGAATGCTAAAGATTCTTCTCTTAACATGAGGCGTAAATTTTACAATCATTTAGGTTATTGTTTAGCGGTGAACATTTTATTAATTAGTATAGTTGTTTATAATAAAGTTCCGTTAGTTACAAACATTTCTTTTATTTTGTCAATTATTGCGGATGTATGTGGTATGAGCGAGGCCTGAGAGTGATCGAGTACCTAATGAACAGCAAACTGTCATACATCGCGAATACTATTCTCAGTCCAACTAAATTTTTAGATGATTATATCAATTCAGATAAAATTAACTAGTCTTTCCAAACCACACAATTCGTTGTAATCAAAATGTGACATGTCACATTTTATAAAATCATATTTTTACTGGTATTTTAATTGAAGCTTTCTCTGGACTATATAGAATTTTTTAGTAATTTGAAGGTAGATTTTTGCAAATAAATTTTAAATTCCTATTCCAAATAAAACGAAATTGTACACTACAGTACAACTTTAATACCTCTTCAAAAAGGTCTCATACTTACAACTTTTGCATAAAATCAACTGGGAAGATAATATTCACCTTCTCAAAATTTACATGTATTCCTAAGTCTTATGTTCCGATGCACCACACGGTATATATGCTATTGGCTTACGCGTTCCCTAGTTTAAATGTATAGGCACTAAAGGTGTATATTTTGAGATTTTATAAAGCCCGACCTACCTATATTCGATAAAAAAATAGAGATGGCATTACATGGTGACTAAATTAAATTTATACACGCTATTTTTATAAAACCGGAACCTCTGGACGAAGCCCACAAGCCTGGGTGACTCTAGGTCTAGGATACAAATTGGAGCTTTAGGCTCCCGTTTGCTTTCTTGCTTTTAATTCTTAGGATCCACTAATTCATCGTTGCCGATTCGCACCATACTGATGACTTCGGAAGGCAGTTACATTAGTGTATACGGTTAATATCTTGAGGGTTGTGCCGTGAATTACAATTTTTTCTTTTTATTTGCTTTACTTCACTAATTTATGTTTTCTGTATTTTTTCAGAAATTTTGTATCAACATGCAACGTAAATATTTGCCTACTGAAGCGAATATATCTCAGAAAAATATTTACCTAAAACAAGATAGTTAAGAATAGACTTCAATCAATTTCTTACTCCATCGCTGCAATTTGGTTTAATTAAATCAATTGACAATGCATTGGCCAAATGAGATGTGGTGACAAAACAACCAAACATATACGAAGAGATGGAATGATACGCATCAATCAAATGTTTGCATTTTACAGTCGCCTCCACACGTCATTTTAAGTCATTTTGCCAGTTTGCTTGATCAAATTATTACCTAGTAAGAATATAATTTGGACTTCGCCGATTTTTGGATAAGGAAAATTCTATTGTAATGCATTCGGGCGAGGTGAGTTCAACAACAGGTCATTATGATTTGAAATATACAAATTTAACTGCTGAAATGCTAGCAGAGAGAACCATAGATGGTCTGTTGGCTGAACACCCTGGGGAGTTAGTACGTACAGGTTGTCCACATGTAGTGTGTACAGTATTACCTCCACATTGGCGATCAAATAAGACTTTGCCAGTCGCCTTCAAGGTAGTGGCTTTAGGCGAAGTGGGTGATGGAACGATGGTAACAGTAAAAGCTGGAAATGACGAAAACTATTGCGCTGAATTAAGAAATGCAACGGCCATTATGAAAAACCAAGTAGCCAAATTTAACGACCTCCGTTTTGTGGGGAGAAGTGGAAGAGGTAAGGGTAAGCTAATTTTAATATATAGATCATACCAAATAAACTTTTAGTGACGTGATTAAGCTTGACCGGCACAGCGTTGTCCATTTTTACATATTTTCTTTTAACCAACATATTTTAGGAAACAAAAATTAATTAATTATATATACAGGGTATATATAATTAATTAATTTTTTGTTTTATATATACGAGCCTCTCATACGCCGCGGGGGCTCCAAGGAGAACGACAGTTTGTATTGAAATGAAATTTTGTGAGCATATGTAGGTTAATTCAGAGCACTTTTTAAAAATATAAAGATTCTACAGGGTGTTCCCAAAAAAAGTTACATATCAAAGTTGTGTTTTTTGTAATGGAATACCCTATATATTAATTGATTTTCGGATTCTGGGAGAAAAATAAAGGTGAGTTTTATAAGAGGTATATGACTAAAATGTAAGGTTTTTGATATATTTAAGATTTTCTAGAAATAAAGAACAATTTTTAAATTACAATAAAAGCTACCTAAATTGGAATTTACCCGGTATAGCCTAATAGGTAGTTAAATTAACTATTGTACTTTAAATCAAATTAAAACGTGATCCAAAAAGTTATACAGGGTGAGACAAAATTAATATTGAACATTGGTCACCTTTAAAAGCCTGCTACTCTTTTATTTTAAATGGAATACCCAGTATATTATTCCGATATTCAATGGAGAATCATTTTGTGTCAGTTAAAATAAAAAAAAATTCTCAGAAATTTGCCCTAAATGTAAGTTTATTCTACATCAGAGAGAATTGATATGATTCGATTAGTTTGTAATGAATAGAATACTTATATGCTCCTGATTTTATCTAGTCTGTGTTTTTTTATGGGAATATGTTAAAGACCTGTTTACAAAACTCGGCCAACTATTGTCGACAGCTTGAGAGAAATTATTGTAGCTGATTTTCAAGGTAGAACTCGACATATGCCTTTTCAAAATGAAAAGATCCTTTTGAAAAGACAATCATTTTATGCAGTTAACAGGAAATAAAAAGCATTTTGAGCACTTCATTTCATGTAGCTAATTTTTGCCACAGAATTATAGGTTTATATCTAGTTTCAATTCTGTAATAATTAAAATATGTTTTAAACGTGTATCTTTTTTATTACCGTTTGGTATTTTACTCTACAATCTTTAATTTTTGTTAAATTAATAAAAGGTATATCACACAGCCACCCAAGATTTTTTCAAATAAAAAAGATCTACTGACGCAAACTCATAAAAATTGAAATATCTAGGAAAATCTTTGTCTGAGGGGTAGGTAACCTTAATAATATTTTGAAAATATACAAATTCCCATTGAACACCGGAAAAATATACTGGGTGTTCCATTTAAAATAAAGGTGTAACTTTCTTATAAAAGTGACTAATGTTCCTTATTAATTTTGTCTCACCCTGTATAACTTTTCGGGTCAAATTTCAATTTGGTTTAACATACAATGGTTACTGTAATTAAATATCAGGCTATACAAGGTGAACTAAAATTTAGGTAGCTGTTACCGAAATTTAAAATTTACTCTTCATTTTCACAAAATGTGAAATATATCAAAATTCTTGGATTTTAGGTATTATGCTTCTCTAATAAAACTCACCCTTATTTTTTTTTTCTAGAATCCGAAAATCAATTAATATATAGGGTGTTCCATTAGAAAAAAAGAAACTTTGATGTGTAACTTTTTTTTGGGACACCCTGTATAATTCTATATATTTTTATAAAATGCTTTCAGTTACGCTGCTAAAATTTCATTTCGATATAAACTACCGTTATATAAGGTTGCTATAAGTTTTTTACAACGGCTATTAAGCTGTCTTGTACATTTCGCGCTAAAAGAGGTTTTAAGAAGACCAATGTTCGACTGCAAGGTCTGCTAGTAAAAATTCTTAAGCTTAAAGTACCACAATTCATTTAAACCAAAAACCCGTAATACAAAACTAAAGTGTCAAAACGAATGACAATGTCAGGAAATAAACAAATAAATGTCGCAACTTGGCATTTTTTACAGCAGAGCTACCACCTGAATCCCCAGCGGGAAATTTAAACTCCGTTTAGTCAGCCCGGTTGCGGTGTGGCGCCGAATATGTCCATGGTTGGCAATAATGAATTAAAAAATCGTACTCTCGATTACGTAACTAAAAGCTTAATTTGGTATCGCTTATACTAATTCAGTCTCTTTTATCATAAATAACATTTGTTATTTTTTTTGTAAAAAAAATATAAATAAAATATTTTTTATAAAGTGGTAGACTTCCCTTTAATTTTTAATATTTAAACGACATTTCGTCTTGTAAAATTTCACGATTACGGAGAATGTCAGTAGTCAGTAGTAGTTTTAAACGGTCATTTGATATTATATTAGTTAGTGATACAGGGTACACAAAATTTTTTTAATCTTCCGTTACTTGCGCCATCTTTTTCTACGGAAGTATACTAAGTACTGTATTTTTAATGTCCTAAATTAATTTTTGATGATAAAAAAAAGAAATAGTAATTTGTATGTCATATGAGTAATTATGACCAACTGAGTAATTATGACCAATTGAATAATTATGACCAATTGAGTAATTATGACCAATTATTTAAATTTTTACAATTATTTTAGATTGTAGATGTTAAAAAAATTGTAAATTGTAACTAAATATTAATTGCCGGAATTGTCGGGTTCAGAAACTGCGTTAGACCGCTTTCACACACACCGGCAAAATCGGTGCCGGTGCCGGTCCTGAAATCGATTGCAATATAAATAAATTAGCTCCTTCACATACACTTCGATGCAGTAAAATAGTCGTGTTCCGCCAAACACAATAGAATTCAATACAACTATCGGAACAATGTCGTTCTATTGTATTTGCCGGACCACGACTATTTTACCTGATCGAAGTATGTGACGGAGCTAATTTATATTTATATTGCAATCGATTTCAGGACCGGCACCGACACCGGCACTGATTTTGCCGGTGTGCATGAAAACGCTTTTAGTGCCCGTCCAAACGAGCGACACAGTAGCGCTACTGCGTGGCACTACAGAGTGGTTCGCATTGTTTTGTCATTATATCACACATATCTTTAAGAAGGGCGTTCAGACGAGCGATTTTGTGTCGCGAGGTGGCGCGTCAGTGGCGATCGGGCGCCGGTCCCCGCCGCGAATCGCGACTACCGGTCGCGTGTTCTCGTCTAGACGGGCCACTTTTAAATTAGTCAGCATCTCGCTTCACTACTGAGTATACATTAGTCAATAAAAAATGGCCTTCGACACAGATCGATTTGTAGCGCCACTGTGTGGCGCAGCAGAGTGGCCAGGATACGCCACTTAGCAGCGCTTCAGCGTGGCGCGACCGAGTCGCTCGTCTGGACGGGCCCTTAAGGATGATTCACGGTATACCGTGATGGCAGTGGCGTGCAGTACCATTTACAGTAGGGTAGGCAACAGAATCAAAAATATGAAAAAACTAAGAAAAAAAACTATGTATTACATAATATTTATGTACAATGTACATATATAAAATTTACTCTGTCTAACGTATTTTAACTTTAAACTCAAACAAAAGAAAATTCAAATAACAGCAAATAAATTTAGTTATTTATAGATGCAAAACGAATAATCTGTCTATCATTCAATCATTATTTCTTCCCGATAGGCGACTCAACGACTGGCGAATTAGCTAAAACAATAACCGTATACAATAGTGCCAGATTGCCAATTATCACTGCCTAAAAAATGATTTTACAGTAAAATAAAATAATAAATGAAATCATTTGGAAACAAATACAGATGACAGACAAGTAAATTTCTAATTTGCTGCATAATACAAATCTTTCTAAAACACAGTTATTTAAAATTGATCGTATGAAATAACATGGACTGTTTCTTACATAGTTCTGTAATAACATCGGAACTGGCAATACCGCATCGGCGGCATCGAGACATTGGGTGCATCCGTGCTGCGGTAACGCACTGCTTTTGCTTGTCCATATCTATGTAATGTTAAGTTGCGGCCGTGCGTTCGATTTCGAATAATGGGATGCGTTTTTTAGGTAATAATAAGACGTTGAACAGGTGGCGTTTGTTTTGTATGATGTTTCTGGCTTTGCAACCGTATTAAACACAATACTAACTTACTATTTAGAAAAATAAAACAATGTAGGTCGCATTGTAGGATTTGTAGGTAGATATATAATGAAAATTGATCAGATAAATATATTTTTATTTTGCGTCTGTCTTGAATAAATGGAAGGGTAGGCAATGCTTTTTTGCCTATATGTAATGCACGCCACTGCGTGATGGATCCTAGCCATGCGTCGGTGACGACACGGTATAGACTTGGTGTATCTCATTTCTTTTAATTTCAACAAATTCCGACCGCAGCGCTTCAACGGCACAAATCAGAAATTATCCCTACCTATTTCAAGCGGCCACGCGCCGTCATGTTGGTCATTAAGACAATTTTGAAATCGTGGTTGTGTCATAATATCTAATATTTAAGTATTTTAGATTTTTGCTAATGCAGTTATTAAGACTATAAAACACTAAACACTCAGGTACGAGATTTGTGTGATGTAACGCTGTTTCGGGTAGTAAAAAATAAGTGAAAAAGAATTAGAACTAGGTGCCTTGTCCTTGTTGTGACAATTTCAAATGTTAATAAGATTGGCCAAAAAAATGTTAACGCGTAAAGGAGAGCGTAATTAGGGCGTTGTTGGGTGCAATAACATTCAATAACTCAACTTTCCGGATATACAACTCTCCCGAAACAACATTCTATAGCTACATAATTTCTTACACCGATTTAATCAATAGCTAAAATGAATAAATATTTATTTATTTATTTATTTATTGTCAAAAAAATTTTCAATTTGTAGACAAAGGTAAACTAAACAAACAAAGTAAACAAACAAGGTACACAAACAAACAAACAAAAGATAATACAAAACATTATACAAATAATATTGTGAGTCTTATTGTTAAAATAAACATT